TTCGGCACACCACCGACACAGTACAGCGCTCCCCCCCGCCCAGTGCAGCGCTTCGTGGCCCCATGGGGAGCTTCACCGAAGCAGATATTCACAGTTACGGTACCCACAATTGTATATGGTTGGGACCTTCGTAAGGATAGTTTTTTGGGGGGTCTGTTGTCGGCGTCGCACCAACCTGCTTATACTATGTGTGCGTCGCCCCCCCAGGGGCGACGCGCGCGCCGAGGAACCTTATAGCATATGCGTCGCGGCGGGCGTTTTCTGGCCACACCTCGCGGGAAACGATCTACTGCAAGATGGGTATACTATATGTTCGGGTCGGACGCCTGCCTCCAAGGAGAACATCTAATACTAGTATGTCTCTGTGCGTCCCATGTTGCTCCTCTAGGAGAAGGAGCGCGCCCAGCGGATTCAGCACACGGTGGAGAGGGCGGTGCAGGGCGCGGGGAGGCTGATGCACCCGATGGTCCTGGTGAGCGCAGAGGAGCTCGAGTAGGGGATCGACTACAAAATTGATGTACCCCAGACTTGATTTTCTTTTCGAGTCTACGAAACGTTGGCAGGGTGTTCCTAGATCTACGAGCTTTCTGTGTGTTTTTCAGGGCATCGACGGGCGAACAATTTCCGGAGTAAATAAATTCTCTGGTCGATCCCCGACTCGAGGAGTTCATGCAGATGCAGGAGCTCACTAGCTACGAGAGGCTGCGCAACGAGGGCAAGCTGGAGTTCCTTGACACCGAGGAGGATCTCGCAAGGTTCAAGGCGGGCCACTCCGTCATCTTCCTGTCCCACCAGTGGCTGAGCTGGGGGTTTCCTGACGACCACCAGCAGACGCAACTGAAGGCGATGAAGAGCGCTGTTAGGACCGCCGCGCACCAGATGCGCGCCGCGGGGGCCCGGGGCGCGTGGAAGAACATGTACGTGTGGGTGGACTACTGCAGCATCGCCCAGGAACACCGCGGCATGCAGACCCTCGCCGTGTCCTCGCTGCCCGTCTACGCGTCCAGCGCTGACGTGTTCATCATCGTCGCGCCACCCGCGAAGCATGCGCAGTCGAACGACCACGCGGACCTCGAGCCAAAGAACGAGCGGCGTAGTCATAAGTTTCGGAGGTCCGCCTGGATTTCCTGGATCGGCGCTGGACCCTGGCGCGCTCCGCGCGCCAGGGGCAGCGCCAGCGCCGATGCATGAGACTTGCGCAGACATCCGAAGGATGGTGCTTGTCGAGGCGCTCTAGGCTCTCCTGCCAGTGGCTTCCACTGTCGGGAGCCAGCGCGGGCCTCCGATGGGGAGGAGGAGACTCTGGATCCCATCCCGGATAGGACGCTGGCAGCGCATGGCAGCCCCGGAGCCCGTTCCAGCTTCGCTCCAGGCACCTCGCAGCGCCGCCTGTGAACCGGCAGCGTGTTCCGGCAGGCCTTTTCTCACAGCGTTTCCCAACACGTGTGCTGTCAAGGTTTCCAGAAGCTCCTGCCCAGAGCTTCCCGAGCTCGTTCGAAGGACCCCCCAGGCCTCGCGATCCGGGTTTTGAGAACCACGACTTTGCTTCCCAGGATTTGCATTCGTACAACTCCCGCGGCTGGTGCCGCGCCGAGATGCTGTCGAAGATCTGCAGCAGCGGGCTGGAGAACTTCTTCGTCCTGTCCACCGAGGGGGGCGAGCTGCAGCGCGTCACCGAGGAGCTCGGGGGGCAACGCCAGGGGGGTGTGCGTCGCCCCCCCCTCTTCGCCCACGGATCGCCCACTGGATAATCCATTATCTCGCAGTAAATGGGAGGGGTCACAACCCTCCCGTCAAAGCAGTGCTAGGCCCCCCCCCCCCCAGAGCAGCCATGAAAGGGCGGCCTTTTGCCCAGGCCCCCCTGAAACCCTCCAAGACAGCTCAAATCAGATCGCCTCTCACGTGTGACCCCCCCCACCACTCTATTGAGAAATCCGTAGTAGCCCACCATACATTTTTGGAGGTCCGCTGCGCTGGCGCCGCCCCTGGTGCGCGCGGGGTCCAGCGCGGAACCTAGAAATCCGCGCGGACGTCTAACATATGTTGATCTTGCCGTTTTTCTATGTGTTCCCTTTGTTATTCCTCTGGAGGAGTGGCTCCCGTCTTTGTCGATGTACGTGTTCTTCTTATTCTTCTTCTTCCTCCTTGTTCTTCCTTATTATTCTTCTTATCACGGTTATTTTACGGCTAATACTCATTCTGATGATGCTGCTATTGATGATGTTGATGATGCTGATGAGGATGCGGATGGTGCTGCTGATGATGATGATCATGCTGATGATGTTGATGATGCTGGTGATGGCGATTCTTCTTATTCGTGCTATCAGTATGATTATTAGTGTACTATTCTTATTCTTATTATCATCAGTATTATTACTTTTTGTGTTTCGTATGATCCTTGCTAGTGCTAGTATTCTTATGGGTACGATCAGCACTGTGAATATTCATAGTATCAGTATTATTAGTGTTACCATTGTTCTGATTATGATACCTGTTTTACTTTTTCTAATATGACTCTCACTTGTTGGGTGCTTTATAACTGCTACCACTAGTAGCATTCACATCACCGTCTTCATGCTCCTTATCGTTACCATTATCATTGCTACTTTTTTTTGTTTTGATTTCCCTAACATTAATATGATGGTTATTCGTATTTGACGTGCTAGTATTCTTATTATTGTTCTCATTACTGTTGCATCAGTAAACATGTTATGATTAGGATGTTTATTGTTTAGTGTTACTGATATTACGGTTACTCTGATTGTGTGTATTGTCATCTTTATTATTCCAGGAATGGCTCCCGTCCCTGTCGATGTACGTCTTCGAGGGCGAGTTTTCCTGCTGCCAGCAGCGGCACGCCCATAGCGCCTGCGACAAGGAGGCGCTCGTCGAGCCCGTGCTCGGCCTCTATTCGCTTGTGCTGCGGCAGGTGAGCGACGCCCAGGGCAGCAGCGGCGCGCGCCACATGGAGCAGGTCCTGCGCCACATCCGTCAGTCGAAGGAGCTCAGACCCCCCCCTCCTCCTCCTCCTCCTCCTCCTCCTCCTCCTTCTCCTCCTCCTCCTCCTCTTCAGGTCCCGGAGCAGCCACGAATCTTCAGGCCTGCGGCCGGCGCAGGGGGGTGTACTTGGTTACTCTTCGCGATTCACCTCATGAGTTATGCCTATCGCAGGTCGGCTCGTAGGCTGCCCCCGATTCGCTGGGCGACTCTTTGCATCGCATGGCGGCTGAGGGCGCGAAGTGTGAAGTTCATTCCCCAAACAATGCTTGCATTTGTTAGGGGCGCTTACTTTTGTCCTGCGTAACTGGGCCGTGTCTTCGGTCTGCGGCTATATCTGTGGTGCCCCTTCGCCGCCTCGCCCCGTCGTCTGGGCCTGTCTGTCCGTCTGGCGGCTATGTGGCCGTCGCCGCCCCGTCGCCGCCTCGTCCTGTCGTATGGGCCTGTCTGTCGGTCGCCGCTCTTGTTGCCGCCGTCGCCGCCCCGTCGCCGCCTCGTCGCCGCCCGCCGTCTGGTCTTATCAGTCGGTCGCCGCGCTTATTGCCGCCGTCGCCGCCCCGTCGCCGCCTTGTCGCCGAACGTCGTCTGGGTCTGTCTGTCGGTCGCCGCGCTTGGTGCCGCCGTCGCCGCCTCGTCGCCGCCCCACGTAGATTGCAGAGCACAGATTTTTTTCCAAAACGTATTCGGATCTTCCCCTCCTGGATTTAACTGCCCCCTTGTCGTTTTGTAATTTACATATTATTCTGCCCCATCGTCCATCCGAAATGCGAATTCGTACCATCCCAGCCAGGACGGTATCGCCCCCCCCCCCCCCCGCCATCATTTGCAAAGCAATACTATGCGCGCATCCGTACATCACAATTCATCAGTTTTCAAGAATTCCTTTGCAATTCGCCTGGCGAAGGACCCAACCATATGCAGTTGAGAGTACCGCAATTGTGAATATCTTCTTCGGTGGCGCTCCCTATGGGGCCACGAGCCGTATGAGGGGTGTGCCGAAATGCGTGGCAGTGTACACAACACGAACGAAGACGATAGGTCCGAATATGAAAGCTTGAGCGCGTGCGAGTCGGATCGCGAGCGAGTCTGATTATGAATGAATCTGCGCGCGATTGATTCTATTCGCATGAATGCGTGCATGGATACGCCCAGTGTAAATGTATGTATACGACTGTGAACAGTTTGGGTCTGCGTGACTCTCGGTACTCGTGACTCTGAGCGTCGCCTCTGCAGGGGGCTTCCCTGGGAACCCCGACGGCAGCGCCCGCGCGCCGCGACGCCCATGTCGGCACGCCACACACCTGGTGTGCGGGACGCATGCGGACGGCAGCACTGGGGCCTTCGGTGGAGCTCCCTGTGGGGCCACGAAACGTGTGAGGGGTGTTGCGGGACGCATGCGGACGGCAGCCCTGGGGCCTTCGGTGGAGCTCCCTATGGGGCCACGAAACGTGTGAGGGGTGTGCCGAAATGGGTGTGCGGGACGCATGCGGACGGCAGCATGGGCCTTCGGTGGAGCTCCCTATGGGGCCACGAAACGTGTGAGGGGTGTGCCGAAATGGGTGTGCGGGACGCATGCGGACGGCAGCACTGGCAGCCTTCGGTGGAGCTCCCTGTGGGGCCACGAAACGTGTGAGGGGTGTGCCGAAATGGGTGTGCGGGACGCATGCGGACGGCAGCCATGGGGCCTTCGGTGGAGCTCCCTATGGGGCCACGAAACGTGTGAGGGGTGTGCCGAAATGGGTGTGCGGGACGCATGCGGACGGCAGCCCTGGGGCCTTCGGTGGAGCTCCCTGTGGGGCCACGAAACGTGTGAGGGGTGTGCCGAAATGGGTGTGCGGGACGCATGCGGACGGCAGCACTGGGGCCTTCGGTGGAGCTCCCTATGGGGCCACGAAACGTGTGAGGGGTGTGCCGAAATGGGTGTGCGGGACGCATGCGGACGGCAGCATTGGGGCCTTCGGTGGAGCTCCCTGTGGGGCCACGAAACGTGTGAGGGGTGTGCCGAAATGGGTGTGCGGGACGCATGCGGACGGCAGCCATGGGGCCTTCGGTGGAGCTCCCTATGGGGCCACGAAACGTGTGAGGGGTGTGCCGAAATGGGTGTGCGGGACGCATGCGGACGGCAGCACTGGGGCCTTCGGTGGAGCTCCCTGTGGGGCCACGAAACGTGTGAGGGGTGTGCCGAAATGGGTGTGCGGGACGCATGCGGACGGCAGCCATGGGGCCTTCGGTGGAGCTCCCTATGGGGCCACGAAACGTGTGAGGGGTGTGCCGAAATGGGTGTGCGGGACGCATGCGGACGGCAGCACTGGGGCCTTCGGTGGAGCTCCCTGTGGGGCCACGAAACGTGTGAGGGGTGTGCCGAACTGGGGCCTTCGGTGGAGCTCCCTATGGGGCCACGAAACGTGTGAGGGGTGTGCCGAAGTGGGTGATGACGATGACGATGACGACGATGACAATGACGATGATGATGATGACGATGATGATGATGATGATGATGATGATGATGGTGATGATGATGATGATGATGATGGGAGGAGGGAGGAGGAGGAGGAGGAGAGAGGAGGAGAAGGAGGTGGGACGCGGGGCGCTGTCTCTTCAAAACGAGGACCCAACACCACAGGATGGTTGGGAAAAAAGTTGGAACGAAGTGCGCACGCGCGCGTCGTCGCGCGCGCATGCCGACACCTTTTAACCATCCGAGGTTTCGCACGGATTTCACAAGCAGGTGCCACGGCACATGGTTTCACACTACGGATTTTCAAAGAAATCCTGCGCCTGCGAATTTGCAAATGCTTAAAACAACCATCGTTTTTTCAGATCTTCACAACATGCTACCAAACGGGCCTCTCGCGCGCGCATGTTGACATCGTTCGAACGCCCTTGCGCGCGTACTGTCGCAAAAATGGTTTGCAACAAATGGGGCGAAGTGCGCGCGGGCGTCGTCGCGCGCGTATGCCGAAATCGTTCAAAATCCTTTCAGGTTTCGTAATGATTCCAACAACGAGTTTCACGAACACATAAAACAAACACGTAGTTTTGTAAAGTCAGTTTCCAGAAAAAAAACCTGCAAGCGCCTACGCCGCATGTCGAACTCATCCGAACGCCCTTGCGCGCGTGCTGGGGGGGGGGAGGTCGCCCTCCGTATCGAATAGTACCGCGCGGGCCATTCGCGCGCGTCGGCCGCTCGCGCATGTCGAACTCCTGACACAACCTTCATCGCCGACGAGAGGGCATCGTCATCGTTATTGGCGGGCGTGATCAACATCGGCGCCGTTATTGGCCTTGCCGTCGTTATCGCCACCATCGTCACCATCATCTCTTCTTTCATCATCTGGTCAACCTTTGTCGGCGTCGCCATGGTACCGCGCCCCTCCAATCCGCCGGCTCGCACTGAGGTGCCCGCTGGGGAGCGCCAGGCGGTTAGCGCCACCGCGGCCGCGCCGGTCGCGCCGCACTAGCTGGCTGCTGCGCGCGCGAGAGTGCGCGGGTTTGCGCGGCCGCAGAGATGCACCGGCCAACGCCGAGCATTCATCGCAATCGCCGCCGCATGGGAAGAGAATTCGGATCTACTCCCCTCCTCTCTCCCCGGGTTTGACGGTTCATTTTTCGATTGGATAGTTGCATATTGTTCTGCCCCATCGTCCATCCTCAATTTAAACTCATATTATTCCAGCCAGGTCGGCATCGCCCCCCCGCCATCGGCTGCGACAAATACCCTGCGCGCGCTCTCGCTCATCAGGAAAGTCATCGGTTTCCAATAACCTCTTGCAACGATAATCGGGCGACGTGCAAGCGCGCGCGACGTCGCGCGCGCATGCCGAAATCCTTCAAGAACATCATGTTTCGCAGGGGTACCAACATCGAATGTCCAAACAACATATGAATTCATGTTTTCGCAACGCGAATGTTCAAGCAAAGCTTGCGCTGGCGCTCTTGCGAAGTCTCAAGAAAACCATGTGTGCTCCATCCTTCCATGACATCTTACCAGACGGGCATCGCGCGCGCATGTCGAAATCGTTGAAGCGCCTCCGCGCGCGTCCTGCTTCAAAACGTGAGACCAAGTGCGCGCGCGCGCGCGTCTTCGCGCGCGCGTGCCGAAATCCGTCAACAACCTTCGGTTTCGCAGGTATTTCAAACTCGAGTGTCCAAACAACATATGCAAACATCGGGCTTCGCAGCGCGGGCTGTCAAAAACAAGCTCGCGCGCGCGCTCTTGCGAATCCTCGAGAAACCCATAGGTTTTCCAGCGTTTCAAATTTTGCCGAACGGGCCTCTTGCGGGGCGCGTCGAGATCATTCGAACGGCCTCGCGCGCGCTGGAGCGGGCCGGGGGCGCGGCGGGGGGGGGCGCGACCCGCGTCAAATAATGCCGCGCGGGCCAGTCGCGCGCGTCGGCCGCGCGCGCGCGCCGAACTGCTTCAGAAACTTTCATCGCCGACGCGAGGCCGTCGTCATCGTTTTCGGCGGGCGCGATTAACGTCGGCGCCGTCATTGGCCTTGCCGTCGTCATCGCCATCTTCGCCGCAATCGTTCTTCGCCGCAAGGATGCGCCAGCCAGCGCCGAGCACTCATCGCAATCGCCGCCGCGTGGGTTTCGCAGATCAAGTTGCGGGTGGGCGGGTGGATGTTGGCATGGGCGCGGGAGGCGTCAAGCGCAGTGCAAGGTGGTCATTTTTTCAGACAGAATATCAGGACCCGCCACCCCGCCCCCCCTTCCCCCCCCTTCTCCCCCCCCCCCCCCCCCCCCCTCCCCCCCCCTCCTCCCTGGATTTAACGCGTCACTTTGTCGCGTTGCAGTTGGCAGATGGCCCCCTCATCGCCCATGCAAAATATGCACCCCCACCATCCCTGCCCAACTGGCATGCCCCCCCCCCCCCCCCGCCATTTCCCTGCGGCGGGAATTATCATGCGCGCGGGCTCGTTTGCCAACAATCGTCAGTTTCCAAGGATCCCGGGCGCGCGGAGAGGGGCGGAGTGCGCGCGCGCGTCGTCGCGCGCGCGCCG